TATATTTGTTATGTTTCAAGCACATTTATAGAGTTCTGTAATTAAAAAGAAATCTAGACTTTCAGCTTAACTTGGAAACATGACTGAATGTATGCAAGTCTGAAAGAAGTCCATTCAAATATTTGTCACTGTAGTCATTTGGTACTGTTGGTTACAAACCAATGTTGTGAAGCTGCCTTGATAAATCAAATATTCCAGTGACAAATTGTTTTGAACTCCCCCAGCAAGAGAGTTCAGTTGCTGTGATTTATTTTAATTTAGATTTGCATAGCAAGTACTTTGAGAACTGTGCCTAATAGACCATTAGGCTTTTCCCAGATAGCTGTAGTGCTTCAGCACCTTCATCCTTCAAATGTCTGTTATTTTCTGCCTTCTTTCAGTGAATTTGTCTCTTGCATTGGTATGTAAGTGACATACTGGCCACGTGATACCTTTCAAGATTATGCCAGTTTTATATAATAGCTTTTGGAGTCTCACTGCCATGCAGATTTTCAGAGAACCAAGGTAGATTTTAGCAGGAGGTCATCACATACTGCAATATATGAAACATGAAAAAACTCTTTACCTAATTTGTTTCTTATATTCCTTTCTAGTGGACCCATCAAAATAATTTTCAGGTGATTTTTTTGGTAAATTCCACACATTCAGAGCTGAGTTCATCATTTTCACAACAGCCAGAGATGCTTGCCTGTTTCAGATCACTCCCTTCCCTAGTAGTTTTATTTACAGTTGATTACTTCTCTAAGATAAAGAAACCATCCTAACTGACTTTGAAATCACTACCTACCAGCCTGACTTTAAGCCCATCATGCAAAAACTCAGAGAACAAATTAACAGGGTAAAGCAAAATCCCTGGAAATCATTCATCACTATGGTAGACCCAGTACAGAACATATTTAAGCCTTAACTAATATGGACCAAGAGCAGCACACTAAATTGGGCAATTTAGAATCGCAGAGCTGCTATGAGGAGTTTAAGAAATATAAATGAATATACGGTGTTCTCATGCTCCAATAAGCCCCCACAAACCAAACATACACCAGCTAAATCCTGGAATCTGGATATATGTATTTCTTAATAAAACTATCCACAGAACACAGACAACCAAATCCAGTTCTTCCTTCCCCCTCCCAGGGCAGGTCTCACTGCATTCAGACTACTGCTTTTCGGTAAACCAAGCAGGATTTAATTCAAGCTGGCTGCCCCAGGTAGCTTCCCCGCAGCCAATTCACTTTCAGGCTAGGAGGACGTCAGAGCCAGAGAAAACCAGGACACCAGTTTATGTGGCAGTGAAGCTGCTGCTGCTGTTTTATTAAGCCTCTCTGATGGAGGATTGCATTTATTTTGGCACTGCATCTGAGAAGACTCTAAAGGGCATACAGTAATCTAAACTACAGACTGTCAAGCTCTTGTTAGGCTGAGTTCCTCATCAGTCCCAGAACAAGTATGACTCACCAGCAAACAACACAAATACTTAAATGAATCTTCAGGACAGTACCTGGAATGCATATGCAGGATACACAGTTCTTTTCAGGGTTTGGGGTTTTAATCTTCCTACTCTATCTCTGTGAAGATGAGCCGGCGTAGTCATTTGCAAAATACATGTAAAAGTATGTCACCAGCCTATTTTTTCAAACAGGTACCAATTACACAACATAATGGAATAGTGATGGCTGCTATACAAAAGTAATAAGGTATTCTACTATTGTTTGTATCAAACTGGAAATCTCTGAAATCAGTCTGTTCAGCTGAGCCACTGGTGTAGGGGAGACAAAAACGTTTTCTCTCATGACAGTGGCTGTCAAGTCTAGTTCTGCCCTTAAACAATGAATTGGCTGAAACATCCTTTACACCAAAAGAAGAAAATAAATTTGGCAGTGGGAAACCATCATTACATGTGGAAAATTCACTTTGACTCATTATCAGTGCTGTGTTATTATGACCATGGTCAGAGATATAAAAGAAAAAACTGAAAATTTCACATGAAAAACAAAACTAGAAAAACTTTGAAATCTAATAGCCTTTTTTACATATTGCAAAATATAAACTTGGTTACAGCTTGGGAGCATTAAAAATCTCCTCAAATCTTAAATATTTTATTTTCTCTTAACTTCCTAGAAATAACTAAGAGTACATAAAAATGATGCTAGCATCTACTTAATTCTAATTGAAAATATAATTCTTTGTTTCCTATTGACTGAAGACAGTAGTAGTGCCCTCAACTGAGATTTTATTATACAATATAGTCTTGTAGCTTTTATAAAAAAAAAAAAAAACAAAAAACAAAAAAAACAACCAACAGATTATTTTAATTGCTTCACGTAATACTAAAAGGACAGGCACTTGCAAACAATAATCACACTTAAATGATACTGACATTTCTTTGAGGGGTCAGGGAAGAGGAGTAGTAACTTACATTTTATTTTCTAACCATTCTGAAGCTACTAACTGTTTGAAACTAACATGAACATAAAGCTGGATTTATGTCTATTGCCAGCTATTCATTAGGCTTTTCTGCACAAACTATCCCAATACCCAGGTGGTGGTTCTCTTATTCTGAAAAGGATTTCCCAGTTTTTGCTTTCTCCCTTTCCTCACAACCACTTTTGCCAATATCCTAAAAGAAAAAACAAACAAACCTGCTAGCTAATCCTGCAAGACCTCCTGAAAGTGTGTGCTCTCTTACTTCCCATCAGTATATCATGCTGTCTAGGCTATTAGCGAGTGAAGAAACTTAAAAAGCACAGATTTGGAAATAAAAGCACACCAACTGCCAGGCCCCATTAAATCTAAGATCTATTACAGAGCATGATAATGGTTATGTTCTCATTCATTTTTCCATAAACTCTAATTGTCAGAACCCATTTAATATATTCTTCAGGAGCTCTAACATATAGGCTTATAATTATAACAGTGATATAAATGACTAGTAAAAATAAAGATGGCAATTGAAGTATGGGCAACTTGCTATTTTAGATAATATTCAGCAGTCACTGAATGGAAGCAAATGCCACAGCATCAGAATGGTATCAAATATTTACATTAATACGTTCATGTAATACACAAGTCACATGTACACAGTTGTTTTGCTAGTTGAATGTATGATAATTAAATGTAGCATCCATGATAAAGGCTGCATTTTAAACAAAATTCCCTTGACACATAACACAGAGAGTACTGATAAAGAGAAGTGCAGAAAAAAGCCTGTTCAGAAAAGGTCTCATTTTGTTTAATTTGCATTTGGCTACTCATTGTAGCATATATTTCCAGGTTTGTATTGTATGTTAACAAATCAACATTCAACATCCAACATTTTCAAGAATCAAAAGTAATTCAGAAGCAAACTAATGGTTACATAAGTTTAGATAACTTCTAAACAATTTAAGTAGTACTGGGTCACTTCAAATGTCTGAAAAAGTAGCCTCTGAGAATTTGAAGTTATTTAATTCAAGCTAAATCACTATGCAGAAGCAGTTACACAGACACCTTGCAGAAACAGAAATCAAAAGCTAATTATTTTGATGGAAAAAAGTTTTTATAAGTTTTTCACAGAAAAGTTGTCTTTAATGTGGTGCTAGAATAGGTCATACTGCCAGAGATAGGACTGACTTTGTTACTCAGCACATGTTTAGAAGAAAACATCTAACCCAAAGATAATGCCAATTATACATACAGACTGCAGTGGGTACTTTTCTTGTAATTATTTTTCCAGTTTTATAAAATTACTGATAGTGTTGGTGTGAAGAGCAACCACAGTTAGTTAGCATTTATAAAAGTTTTTTAAAAGCTCACTCTACAGTACTATGTATAACTGGGGAACTGAGTCATCTGTATTGTTAGTCTGTCAAACCATAACCTTTCTTACTATTAACCTAATTTATCCTCTACTTATATTTGTTGAATGTATTTTAAAGAAGATGATAATCCAGACATCTAGCTTTAGAATGCCTTTCATTCATGTCAAGCTATTTTGATTCTAAAAATGATCTCCATCTATTTAGATGAACCAATGTGACAAGATTTTCCCCTTCCAACAAGCATTACTTTACATCTCTTTTTGCCATTGCACAGACATGTCAACATATATGTCATACACCAACAATGGCTCTGCATCAAATATTAATTGCTTTGAATCAGCATAACGTGCTTTTAGGGGAAAATTCTGCCTCTAACTACACTTACACAAAAATGAGATTCAATATTATTTTAATACACAGAAGTGTATTTCCCTATTAAATGCTTGAAGGAGAGGCCATTGCTCTTTCCTGGGCAGAGAGAATTGCTGTTCTGTTCCTCTCCCATTCTCTTCCCCAGTCACCTTTTGGCTTCACACACATTTTCCCTCCATGCTCATCTGTACATGTCTGCCTTCAACAGCAACATTTATCTATTTTCCCCACTTTCTTGAATTCAAGTTTCCTCCTTGTGTCTCCCTCTATTCTCCTGCCTTTTGAGCTCACTTTGCTCTCTAAATTTCATTTCATATACATATCTAGTGTCCCTCTCCTGTCCTCTTTGTCCTTTCATGGGTATTTGAAAGTCTCCTGTATTTTAGATTAGCATAGAGTTGTATATGCATAATGTCTAAAATAATGTCTTCTGCATATGCTACAGGCATTTTATCCCATGGAAAGTGCTAGGGGAATGTGATGGTTTTTAAAGTCTGCAAGTTTAGGAGTGTGTCTGTGATAGTTTTTCCACATTAATTTATTCTTACAAGTAAGTTTTCAAAAATAAAAAAAAAGCCTTCCTATTAAGATCCACTACAAAATTGAGACCATTAAGTCAAAGTTTCAGCCACAAGATCTCCCATGTTTACCAAACAGATACGTGTTTTATGTTAAGAATAAAAAAATTGTACATTTTATGTTAAGCACTTCTAAAAAAACATCATTAACACAAGTGCTATGCCATTTCCTTATTTGGATTAAGTATCTTTAGAAGAGTCTGATGAATTACAAAATAAAGAAAAAAAAATACAAAAGTAAAGGTAATCTTACTTTTTCATCATCATCAGAAAAAGGGGCACCTCCAGGAGTCTTATTTATAGCTTGGGCAACACCAATAACCTCTCCATCACTGTTTCTTATGGGCATGCACAAGAGTGACTTTGTCTTGTATCCGGTCAGTTTGTCAATCTCATCATTAAAGCGGCGATCCTTCAAAAGAAAATAGGGAAGCATTAACATGCAATGTCATACATCTAAGCTTTCTTCAGGCAGCAAAACATTTTCTCAATGTCTTATATAGTATTTTCAGTAATGTTATTGCTTCTCTTATTAACTCATTCTTTATTAGCTGTCTTTCTGCAGTTAAGTTACTATGAAAAATGGTTCTCAGAGGATCAGTACAAGGTTTACCATTACATAATTGCATTCAATAAAGTCCCACATTTGTACCTCAATTAAAAGAAATGACCAACCTTAGGGACTGGTTACCAAAGAAGCTACCAGGAGAACATGGACAATTAAGACAAATTAAGTAAATATAAGAAAAGGAAAGACGTGATAGAGAGACTTCATAAATGCACTTTGAGCCTTGACAAAGCACAAGCTCCTTGCACCCACAGCTCAGCACCATGACTGTGCCTTCTTTGATAGCTCTGGGCCCATCTGTAAGCACAAGATAATCCACACCTCCATGATAGCAACGTTGGCTATCATGGCTATAGATGGTGAAAGCCTTGGGCAAGGTGGCTAATAAGCTGCAAGGAATGCTGGGCCACCTTAACTGAGAATGCAGAGAAGGAGAATGAGCCACATAGATCTGGTATGTACTAATTTCTAGACTATCCCCAGCTGCTAAGTCACCATGTTTACCCCAGAGTTGAGCAAGGGTGTCCATTAGCTGTGTAGAGCATGGACAGTTGCAGAATTAGGACTTTAACGTAACACAGGGAGCATACCAGCATGACACTATATATTAATCTTAAGTCTTTATCTGTTTTTCAGAAGTTTATACCAGTTCAACCTGATCAAGGTGTGCTTATGTACACTTATGCTTATGCTGATCTGTACCCTCAACTGCCTGGTATCTGCACCAGACAAGAGAGCTTCTGAGTTTCCTTGTGCATCATGTTGTAGGTTATACCACCTTATAACTAGCACATGAGAAAGACTAGGAAGAATCAATTTCAGACAAACGCTGCATGAAGTTGCAATGCTTTAAATTTACATTTCTCAAGTTGTTATACTTGCACTACATAAATTATGAAACAATGAAAGATTTCATGGAGAATGTCTCACAATACTAACATTCAACTAAATCATTTTGGAGCAGGCTGAAAATGTAGGGACAGATATTTATGTAGTCTGAAAGGTCCTAAAATGTAGTGTACATCAACCTGAGCATTTTCTTAATCTGTAGTGCTCTAAGGGGCAGAATTAACAACACAACTCTAATGTTAACAAACCAAAGCAACTGAATCCCCACAATAAATGCTTACCCTTAAGCTTTACTTGGCAAGTAGCAATCATTTATTCAAGAATTTTGCAAGTATAATTTCTTGTAGTTTTGTTTATTTTCAAGTTTTGCTGACCAAGATTTGTATCCAACATCATCATCATTTTTATTGTTGTTACATAGAATTTTTTTAGGCATGATTATTTCATATGCATTTGTATCCACTTGCATTAAGCTTTTTTGAACAATGTTAATGCATAATTAACTATGGAGATTTTAATGTATTTTAATTAATGCTTATATAAAAATCTATAAATCATGAATGACTAAGCTTGCAATGTAATCCTATTGATCATAAAGCATGCACTTCTCAAAAAATACAGAATACATACTGTGAGCATAAGACCCCTCTTACAATAGAATAACAGAAATCAATTTCTTGCAACCAAATAAGTGTTTATAACGTATCATGTTGAAGAGTAAAGATACTAATAACAACGTGCTCTTTGAAGTAACAGGAGCAAGTATTTTAAATTTTTTTCTAACACAATAAATGTGCCTTTAAGATTACACATATTTATTGAGGGAGGTACATAGTAAATAATTGCTTGCACCCACATTCAAAGAAGTCTTCACTTTTCAACACAAAATCCAAATCTTTCATTTAAACTAGAATTGCTTCATACTTCTTGTTGTCATTCCTATTCTATGCGGGGTCACAGTGCTGATCGCAGTATTTTTCTATCCCCAAAGCTGTTCAGGTACTAAAGTCTTAGTAATAGTACTGCTAACCCCAAATGCATCAAAAAACTACTTACATTGCATCTAGACAGTTCTTATTTCAGATTTGAAACACAGGGTTTAGGGGCAACTAATATAACACATTTTACACTAAAGCACTAGAAGTAGTGTGTCATGTCTTAGTGAAGATACAGGTGCTTGAATAGGTGTAGGAATTTCAGAATGCAATACATTGTAAAAGATAACAAACTACCATCTTCAGAAACAATGCTAAAAATATGCATGGGGTGACAACATTACATCTTGAGATCAAATTAAATTTGATCACCATTTAAAAAAAATAATGCCATTGCTTTTATAGGACACTTCTATTGAATGACACCCAGCAAAGACTGCTGTCTAGTGTTAGTAATGTGATCATCCACACATGCTTATTCTGGGCCATGCTGCACTTTTCATCCATATTTTGTAGTTGCTCACGGTTTCTCTGTCAAGTAGATGGAGACTCTTTATGGCCTCTCTTCTGCCTGTTGCACTTTAAATTTAGTACATGAAATAAGACTTGTTATATGGGCTAGTATTCCAGTGAGGTACAAATGCTTTTTCAAAGAAACACAATAAAACCTCAGCATTTTCTGGAAAACTAAGTACGGGAATGTCCCTATTTACCACCCTCCCACCAATATACTTCTCAACATATAGCTTAACTAAAGACATGACTCAAAGGGGTATATTATTTGGATTTGAAGCTTGTTTAACTTTCCTCTGCAGGATACACACAGCTAGTTACCTCTGGAGAAAGATTACTGTAATTACTGTATACACAAACAGAAGTGTTTAAAAGATGTATTAAATATCTTTTTATAGAACTTCGTATTGTATGCCAGAATAGTAAGATGATCTTATAGTACCTTTGATCATAAAGCAGTCTGAAGTTTTTCTTAAATACATTAAGATTTGTAGAAAGCAAGCAGTTGAGAGCAAAATTCAAATCTTAACAGAAAATTACGTTCAGTGCAGACTGAAAAAAAACTAAGAGAACTGAACTAAATATGGGTCTTTTTTTTTTTTTTTTTTTTTTTTTTTTTTTTTTTTTTTAAGTGGCAGCATGCAGAAATCCATTTTCTGGAACAGTACAACTCAAACAACAGATCACAAAGTGACTCAAAGGAGGCTGCAAAGTTCAGAAGAGGAAGTGCTAACAGCATCTTTGTTCATCTTGGTAGAGAATAGTCTTCAACAGCTCTTCTATCAGCCAGTGAGAGAATTGGTGCTATTTACAGGCAGCAGCTCTGTTCCTCCAGGGTGAAGTTAGCATTTATGCTGCAGACAATAGTTACAGCCAGTTCTGACTCTGCTAACATAATGGAACTGGGCTGTTCTACAAAAATAAGCATAAATTTCTCTTTCAAAAGTTTAGAGAACTTTGGCTGTGAAATAATGCCCATATTTGTCTCAGATGATGAAAACAATCTATACAGTCCTTACACTAAGATAAGGAATTATCTCTTCCTCATCACAATCAAACCTTAAGTATTTGCTGTTGCTAAAAACTGATGCATTTTTTTCTTTCCTGACAATTTTATTTCTATTTTTATTTCCCTGTTGTGACTTGAAGACACTATAGACTATTCTAGCCACCTCAAGAGGCATGATTTAGAAACGTTCTACACTCACTCACATATAAAGATTAACATATACATTTGGCTATTTTATTAGTTGTTGAAAGTTCTCATACCTTTCAACCACAAGAAATTAATACCAACTGTGGTATTCATATACAGTTTACAGTGCTCTACTGCCACAAAATATCAAGCTCTTGGTTATTTTTTTGTTATACTATTTTATTTTGTTCTGTTTTAATTCTATAACTTCATTAGGAGTTGTTCTTCCTTAGACCTATTTCTGCCTCAGTAGTGTATTAAATAGTCTTTGTTTCCATAAAGACCAGATTACTAATATGCAGTCTTTGATAAGGCTTTGGTGAGATATCCTTGAATTATTTGTGCCCAACAACATGCTTAGGAGAACTGGAACCCCCATGATGAATGTTTTTTAACAATGGCATCAAGGAGCCAGACCTGCCTGATCTTGTGATATTCCCACGTTCTTCTAAAAACTTTTAAATCAACTTCGATAGAAGCTGAACTGTTCTGCACTGTAGAGAATCCTTCCTAGGAAGAGATGGCTCTTCTACAAAAGAAGTGAAATGCAGTGCAGTTATCACACAGAAGGCTTCACCAATTAATAAATTAGACATTATTTCTTCAAATATTTCTTTGTAATGGTTGAACTACTATTTAGAATTATATATTACTGATAATATGCTTTGTATTACTGAAGACACAGTCCCCGCTCTACCAATTTTGTTCAAAGCAAAACAGTAGATGGGGAATCACTGAAATAATATGCCTTGATTAGTACTGTTGTTGATTTACATCTTGTGGGCCTTATAAACAAAGTAAACCCTCAAGGGGTAGTTTAACTGAAAAAGGACAGCTGTTGGACACACCAAAAGCGAGTTGCAATAAGCTTCTGAATACACTCAATTACAAGAGATACGTTGTTGCAAGACAAAACAGGGGTCGGGGATAAAAAGCAATACAATGTATTCATATTGATCTGCAAGTTTCTTTTGTTTATGTAAAAGGGTTCACTACAGTGAGTATTTTAATCCAATTGTAATTTACAATCCTGGGACATAGGCAGTCATTGCCTTTTCAACAGGCCTCAATATTAAGACACACAGTGCTGTTTGACCTGTAGTGGATAGTGCCACACAGGGCAGGTGCTCATGAACCTGTCCGAATTGGATATATACAGTACAGCTGCCAGTGTTAGGAACAGACTTAATGATGAGCTATCAATCCTGTGTTCCTTCACGGATGCTATGGAAAACCAGAGACACAAGAGGGATTAGCAATCTGGAATGTGTTTTTTGGAGTACAACTCATTCCTGCTGTATTGCTTCTACTTTCAAGTAGATTTTGAAAATCTCCTGATTGCATCTCTTGCT